ATAGGAGTGATGTTGATACTTACGATATATTATATGGAGATCGTTGTCATTCCATTCCGTCTTCGAAAAAATCAGTTGATGTAGGCTGTGTGCTTGTACTCAAACTAAGCTTGACTTGAGGACATGTTAGTTTGTTATGCCCCTCACCGTTGCAGTACCCACATCGCCTAATTTGCTTCTCGACCTTGTTCTTCGGCACTTCTTTTCGCTTGCGTTGTTTTCGTTGAGGGTCACGAACATTGTTTACTACAATGCTCTGGTTGACTGAATGATTCAAACCAAACGAGTTTTCTAATTCTTCTATTAGTTTTTTCATCTCATCTCTTGCGGTTTTGAAAGACTCGTCTGTCTTTGATGCAATGTAGCATAACCTACTTGACGTTGAACGTAGAGCAGCGAACCTTGCCATTTGCATCACTTCTGGAGACACATTCAAATCAACATAGCTGGGTGCAGAAGCCTTCGCATCATTAGTCCACCTACTTTGAATCAAAGTCCCGGGCAAATATGTGTAGTCCAATTGCTTCAAAATGTGAAGTTGATGGCGACACGGAAGTCCAACGTCTCGAATTTTTTGCAGGAGCAAATTAGAGTTTTCGTACGAGAATCAAAACTAATTTCAAATTTCCTATTTTTTTCTGCGTACTTTGACAAAATATAATGTTGACATTCATCTGATAAGGACTTAATCTCTGCCTCAATCCGGTACAATGTCTCCCGTGTAAGTTCATCTTGGAACACACGAAAAGATTCGCGGGTAAAAATCGCAGCGGCATGGCTTTCAAGGTCGACCAGTTTTGTGATCTGGAAGGGCTTCGTATGGGAACTTAAGTAATCCGCTTTCAACTCGTTCATACGCATTCTACTAATTCCATCTTCAATTGCACGAACAACATCTAAATATGTCTTCTTGTGTTTCAGTGCAATAGCTAGTGAAGCATTCATAGACTCGCACCTTTGTGTTGAGCGAATATTGGCAAAGAAATGACCGGTTAGATATGCTTGTGCCCATAAGTGTCGTGTATTTCCCTTCTCAACCACCCATGGATGCTTTTGGACGTTGAATTCTGAAACAATCGAACGCCATTGAATATCAAATTCCTTGGTTGTCCACCAGGAAGCCATGCATTTTGAGAATGCTGCTGTAAACTTTGGGTCACCAATGTTAGCTTGTGCATTGCAGAAAGATGCCAAGAACATAATCTGTGCTTAGCATAAGGGATAACAGATTTGATAGCCCTCTGCATTGCCCTATCCCCATCGGTTACAACAGAAATAGGTGATTTATTCATCATGGCTTCTAAAAAATTCTGTAGCACCCACTCGAAAGATTGAGACGTTTCGTCAGCGATTATGGCAGTGGCAAACACAATTGTGTTATGGTGATGATTGACACCAACAATAGGCATAATTGGTCGACCATACAAATTATCTTTGTACGTTGTGTCGAACGCAATTACATCACCGAAGCATGTGTAATCCGATCTCGATGTAGAATCCGACCAAATAAGATTATACAATGCCCCCGATTCGTCTACCGAGTATGTCATAAAAAACCCGGGATCATCATGTTTCTTATAATCAAAGTAGGCAATAAGCGCATTCACATCCCCATCGACGATTTCCTTTGCTTTACCTCTTTGAAGTGCATTGTAGAGGTCTTTATGTGTAAATCCAACATTATGATAGCCCCCTGCCTGCTGCGTTAAATAGTTCATTACTTGTGACGTGCCAACACCGACCTCTTTCAATGTTGTTGCCTCATCGATATCAGCCTTACTTACAGCTCGATTAGAACGCATAAATGGTGTCATAGCAGATGTGCACAATGCATGATTATGTTTCTGATCAGACTTACTTATAACCCACTGATCGTTTGTATTTGTTGCTGTAACTACGACTCTAGCCTTACATCCTGTTCTTGTGACTGGCGTATTAGCACGTTGACGATCAACAGTATTGACTTTTGATACTCGAAACCCTTCTTTGGAACAACAAAATTCTTGTGTCTTCACATTCCCTTCCACGTCAAGCCGTGTTGTTCCCTTACGTGCACTAAACCCATGTTCCCGTGCGAATCCCTTGTAAAAGTGCCAAGCTTGATCACGTGAACAGAAGAGCTGACCAACCAATCTGTCAGATTCATCAACATTATGTACTTCATGGCATTCCTCGGTTGGCTTAACATTGTCTACATCAGTATTATCCATGGCAAAAATTTTGTTGTGCAAGTTCAGTGCTCCAGGAGTTGATGGATATGTAAACGAAGGTTCATTTTGAACATGTTTCTGTAGTTAAAGGGTGGGTACAACATTAAATTCGCAGTACATATTTAGGTATGTACAATAACTACAAGTATATTATCATTTTAAATTCGCAGTACACTGTTAAAAAAATTGAAACATAAATTACATAAGTTTTAAAAAAAGTATCGATCCTTTTTATAAAAAGTATGGACACTTTCAATATAATAGGTAAACATATGATGTAATAGGTAGCCCTTATATAATGTAATAGGTATCGTTTATATAATGTAATAGGTAATGGTTATATTGTAAAGTGTCTATCCTTTTTATAAAGTGTCCATACTTTTTTCACTGTGGAAAACATTAATTTAAGGTTATCTTTTGAGTGAGTTTTAAGATATTAATTTAGTAATTATAGGCGTCTAATGATTTTTTTTTACGGTATATATTATTAAATTAAAAATTCTAAATAATATTTTATAAAATATAAAAACAATCAAATAATTTTTTGTGCAAATGAAATTATTAAATCAATATTGTAGGTGGAAAACATGAAACACTGTTAAAAAAATTGAAACATAAATTACATAAGTTTTAAAAAAAGTATCGATCATTTTATAAAAAGTATGGACACTTTCAATATAATAGGTAAACATATGATGTAATAGGTAGCCCTTATATAATGTAATAGGTATCGTTTATATAATGTAATAGGTAATGGTTATATTGTAAAGTGTCTATCCTTTTTATAAAAGTGTCCATACTTTTTTCACTGTGGAAAACATTAATTTAAGGTTATCTTTTGAGTGAGTTTTAAGATATTAATTTAGTAATTATAGGCGTCTAATGATTTATTTTTTACGTTACGGTATATATTATTATTAAATTAAAAATTCTAAATAATATTTTATAAAATATAAAAACAATCAAATAATTTTTTGTGCAAATGAAATTATTAAATCAATATTGTAGGTGGAAAACATGAAACACTGTTAAAAAAATTGAAACATAAATTACATAAGTTTTAAAAAAGTATCGATCCTTTTTATAAAAAGTATGGACACTTTCAATATAATAGGTAAACATATGATGTAATAGGTAGCCCTTATATAATGTAATAGGTATCGTTTATATAATGTAATAGGTATCTATCTCGCATGTGAGTACTTTATTCCAACCATGTGACAAGTGTGACAACTCCATCAACTCACAACTCAGCTTTGAACTCAATCAATATTGTCTTTTAGCTTGATGGTTCATAAAGCATGTTACTTGAACAGTATGAATCAATTATGCAATTTTCATGTTCAATTTAACACTGCATTTCAAATTCATTTCATATGTAATTGGAGTTTGAATTTAAATTTCAATTTGAGTTTGAATTTCAATATATATTTCGGCTCCACTATAAATATTAGCCCAAGCCAATATGCATGTTATCATTGATTATTCCTAATTTCCATTGTTTTTTTTCCAACGTATAAACGCGAGGGAAATCCCGACCATTTTATTTTTGGTCAACTTTAAAGCGTCAGAAACGTTTCGGGCGTATGATCTGGGTGGTATACAAGAAATGTAACAAATAGCAACTAAAATCATAAGTTGAGTACCACCCAAATCATAAGTCTGAAATACTTCCGATGCTCATCAAAATCCAAAGCTCATTTGGTGCCAAGCAAAAGGAAATCAAAATCCAAATCTCATATGATGCCAAGCAATAGGTAGTGGTTATATTGTAAAGTGTCTATCCTTTTTATAAAAGTGTCCATACTTTTTTCACTGTGGAAAACATTAATTTAAGGTTATCTTTTGAGTGAGTTTTAAGATATTAATTTAGTAATTATAGGCGTCTAATGATTTATTTTTTACGTTACGGTATATATTATTATTAAATTAAAAATTCTAAATAATATTTTATAAAATATCAAAACAATCAAATAATTTTTTGTGCAAATGAAATTATTAAATCAATATTGTAGGTGGAAAACATGAAACACTGTTAAAGTATCGATCCTTTTTATAAAAAGTATGGACACTTTCAATATAATATAATGTAATAGGTAAATTTGCAATGCTATCGGTATAAATATACTGGTTTACTTATAAAATAGGTAAATATAAGCGCTATCTATTACATTATATAAGCGCTACCTAGTATGTTATTGTACTTTATAATATTTCCGGTTAAATAATATAACATAACCGGTCTAAATTTTAACCGATCACTTGTTTAACCGGTCACGCCGTATATTAGCCGTTTTTTAGGCGCCGCACCGCAGAACGACCCAAAGAAAATATAAAAGGAAAGTCAAGAAACAGCCACCATACGCACGATATAGACAGTAAAAATTAACCAGGTTTTAACTTTTTTCCAAGAAAAGGTGAAACATTTTGCGTAACTCTTAAAAAAAAAAACCACAAAAGTCGATATGATCTCTTCTTGTCGGCGGAAACTTTTTACCATTAATAAATAAATAAAAGCTATGGTAATAAAAAATATTATAATTTAATTTAGTATGTCTCTGTCAAGGTAATAATTTACTGTTATGAATTAATTTATTTTAATTTTTAAATAAATGCTAATATTTTCATTTACAACTATAAATATCATTTTTTATTTTAGGTTTAATGGTCTTTGAGACCTTCAAACTGATTTTTATATAAAAAAGGATTTTTTTTATTTTATAGAATTTTTGCAATTTCTCAATCATTTAATGATTTTTCACCTATGCTGCTGCAGTTTTATTTATAGTTTTACCATTCGCCTTCCTCTCTTCCACCAGCAACGAACAAAATGACGCTCCACAATAATTTAAACGAGATAGTGAGGCGGCTAGCTTCCACCAACGCGGTTGTTCTGTTCAGCACGAGTGGCGATTGCATGTGCACCGTGGCGAAACGACTCCTCTTAGGCCTCGGGGTTGCCCCCGTCACCATTGAGCTCGACCACCATGTCGCCGGTCCCGACATCCAAGCTGCTGTCTTTCAACTTGCCGGTGGTCGACAACAGCCTATTCCTGCTGTGTTTGTTGGTGGCAAGTTCCTTGGTGGCATTGAAACCCTCTTGGCTTGCCACATTAATGGCACTTTGGTTCCTCTCCACAAAGATGCTGGTGCACTTTGGCTCTAATGATTTTCTCCTCTTATGAGACCTATATGTTATTTCATATGCGAACCAACTTATCTCAGTGGTTAAAAGAATCGTTATTGTTTATAGAGGTCACGAGTTCGAGCACCAATGATTGCAGTAGTGCGATTAAACGTTCATTATAAAATGATTGAGAGTATTTAGAACAAATGTTACTTTGTAACAACCTTAGCTTAATAAAAAAAATGTTGTTTCATGCCAAATATTCTAACCAAACAAGGCTGTCTATTATTAGGGATGGATTGAGAGTGAGATTACCTTTAGAGTTTTTTAAATTTTTATATAATTTATTTTTTTATATTTTTATTGATAATCTAATTATGTGTTTTAAAATTTTATAATTATTTTTTATAATTTAAAATTGTATGTTCATCTATGTACTTTATCATATATATGATTTATACATGAATGAACCTTTGTGCTTTACTGCTTTATCATATATATGATTTATTCTATCCGACATACCAATAATTGAGGACTCCATCTGTATTTGAAGCATGGTATTCCTTGTTATAAATTCCGGCATGCATGCCATGGGAAAACCAACATCGCGAGTGAAAATGATTGATGAAAGACGTTATACAACAAGCATGTGTCTAAAGCCGCTTGATGATTACTGGTGACGAGAATAAATAGGTTACACAGTTACAAATGGTTTGTTTTTTTTTTAATTTTGATCTAGAGGTTTTATAATCACTTTTAAAGCTGTGAGAACTTTACCTTAAATGAAAGAAGGTAAAGAAACTTTTTAATACGTGTAAATGATATGTAGAAGAGCTCTGGTAAAGATATAACAATTACATATAACGCTTTCTTAATGGCCTAATGACTCTGTATCACATATGAGGAATATACCGTAGTCGGTGACTTATACGCACAACTGTTGATACTATTGGTTTGGCTTCAAGGAATTCACCAAAACATGTCACTGTTTATAGACAATAACAGGCCTTTTCATTGTTGTCAGTTTTCACTTTCTTCCTATTCTTTTACTCTCTGCTTTGTCTGGGCACTTGAGATGATCCGAGACATCACTTGAATCAAATGGTGGTGTTTTTTACTTCATTCAAGTGGTCCCAAACATTTCCCTGCTATCTGTAAATTTCCTAGTGCATTTGGTTCATGGAATGTAAGATTATGGAATAAAAAGATTATCAGTGGGAATAAAAGATTACGGATTACTGGGAATATTGTATTTTATGTTTGGTTGGTTTAGCATGAATGTAAGATTACCTTGTTTGGTTAAAGGAATAAAAGATTATTGGAATGTATATTTGACCAAATTGTCCTTATTATATATTTGTTTTTTTAACAAGTTGAAAAATATTTATATATTTTCTTTAAAAAAATTAAATTCATAAAATTTATATAATTTTTTTTTACAAAATTGAAAATATAAAAAGGTTTTAATGAAAGGGTAAAGTTTTATTTTAACCCCTGAACTTCATATAAAATTTTAATTATAGATTTTTTTTGTAAATCTAAAATAGTTTAAGTATAAATTTATAATTTAACATTCATAGAATTTTTTTTATTCAATAACAGAACAATGATATTTTTGAAGAAAAAAAATTAAGGTCATTTTAGTCCAAAACGCCTGTAATCAAACAATACCTAAGAAAATGGAGGTAATGACATTCTCGGTAATATACCCCAAAAAATCCACTATTAGTAATATAAGATTACCGGGAATGACATTCCCGGCCAACCGAACGGAGGAATGTGGATTCTATTCCTATGAGAATTTCACGTTCCCCCAACCAAACACACTCTAATAGTGTTTGGATGAGTTCATTTGCAAGTGCTGACAGAGCTTTCTCTGTGTATTAAGGAAATGCTTGAAGCTTGCACTCAGCTCAAATACCCTGTTTCACATTACTGTCCTTTTATCATCAAAGGTTTAGTAATGGCACTGTATAAGTTCTGTACGATAGCGTACATTGCAATCTGATTCTGATTTATCTACTTTTATTAATGAGAACACTCGATAAATTTAATAACAACAAATATGGTTTAGTAATTTCGATGTCACGGTGGTAGTTGGATCAAACACATGGATATTCCATAATGCTAGTAAGATTTAGCATGTTACAATAATCATGTGACTGTGTCTTGAACAACTAATGTTACATATAATATAGAACAATTATGGAAATTAGATCATATAATACAGAATGTGGATTGTTATATATTTTTTAGTATCTTCGCAAATCATATTTCTGCTGGCACTTCTTCATCTATCAAAACTAGTAGAGAAATTCCTCTGTTGATCAAAGTTTAAGCCTCCGGGGAAATTCCTCCATTGAGTGGTCTTGGGGATTCCACGTCCTCGGTTAATCAATTACTAGCCTAAAAAAGGGCTGAGTGCTTAGCATAAAGCCATTGTGATTGAACAAATTTTTTTGGATAAGTAAATTTCATTTCAAATCCAAAAGAATGCAGCAACAGCTGCAACAATACACCAGTCAATGGCACCTCATACATAACCAAAAATTAAGCAAACTAATCAAAAGCGAGCGAACAAACAACAAACAAACAGAGCATCTCCCTAGGCCCCCTACACTAACCCCCAAACTTCACAAAGCTGCAAATTCACCCCATCCTGCTTAATGCAGCAGCCAACCAATCTTAAGCACATAGTATCCTTAATCTTTCCATACACCGCCTCCGAAGATCTCTCAACTCCCCTATAGATTCTGAAATTACGTTCCTTCCAAATACAGTATAGGAAGCTGGTCCAAGCAATCTTCAAGATGCAAACAATTAAAGAGTTGCCGCTCAAGTTACAGATCAACCAATTCAAGTTCTCCTCCCAACCCCACAGCCTACAAGGAAGCTTACAACCCTGCAATATTGCATCCCACACAAGGCAAGCATAAGGGCAATCACCCAAGATATGATTCTTAGACTCCTCATCCAAGCCACACAATGTTCAACCTCTGTCCATCTCAAATCCCATACGAGCTAGTCTATCTTTCATAGGGAGTCTATCAAGAATGGCCATCCAGAACACAATAGATAGTTTAGGAACATGCCAAAAAACCAGATTAACTTCTGCCAATTGACTTTCACCTTCTTATCTCTAATACTCTCCTAAATCCACCCATAATCCTCTAGTAAACAGAACCTCAACCCCTCCTCTCAACTTAATCAATTTCTTCAAAACCCAGCTATGAAACGTTTTACAATTCGTCGACAAGTAATCCTGGCCCTTCAGAGCATAAGTCTTGATCCAAGCCACCCACAAAGAGCCCTCATCTGTAAGAATGTTTTTAATGAGCAACACAGTACATGACCTATTCCAGCAAGACAGATCCTTTAAACCCAGGCCTCCCTCAGACTTCAACCTGTAAATCTGCCCCCAATTCACTCTCGCTCCCTTAGTCGAAGTATCACTCCCTTTCCAAAAGAACCTCATGCATAATTGCTCAATTCTTCTAATCACAGCTTTAGGAAGAACCAACTGCCTGCACCAAAAATTAGAAATACTAAACAGCACGGCCTTGATAAGATGCAATTGTGATTGAACAATTGCTTCACAATCCAGGCAGACAAAGATCAAAACCTAGGTTAAAGCAATAGAAATCATTCAGTTCTCATAGCACCATTATATAATATATGCATTCTAAATATCTTTCACGTCATATTTGAATTGATGTTCGATGGTTAAATTGAATGAAGGATTTAATCAATACAATACTAATATTTTAAGGAGTTAATTAAAATGTTTAGATTTTTGGGATTAGTTTAGAATCTAAATTATAATTTGAAGATGTTTTATGTAATTAGCCCTTTGTATGCATATATAGTTATAAATTGATTTTTATTCTGTTGCATTGTTAAACCCAACTAAACCCTTCCTTCAAACTCCTCTCCGTAGCCTCCGCCGTCATGTCCCTTATAGCGGGATCCTACGAGCGTTTCATATGGGGTTTCAAACTAAAACCCCAAACCCACGAATCCCTCGCTCTTACCCAAATCTTCTCTTACCCATCGCACATCGCTCCCATAGCCACCGTAGCCGCCGCCGGTCCAGCCGCCGCATCCGGCTCCTCCGATGACACCATCCACATCTACGACCTCTCATCCGCCGCTTCCCTTGGTCCTCTCCACCACTTCAACTCCTCCATCACTTCCCTCTCTTTCTACTGCCCTCCTAACCTCTCCTTCCCTCGCAATCTCCTCTCAGCCGCTGCCGATGGCACCATCTCCATCTTTGACACCGAACCCTTTGTTCTCCTCAAGTCCTTTAGGTCCCATAAAAAGGGTATCAACGATTTGGCTGTCCATCCTTCTGGAAAGCTCGCTTTGAGTGTTTCGCGTGATGGGTGCTTGGCTATGTCGAATTTGATGAGAGGGAAAAGGAGCTTTTGTTGTAGGCTGGGGAAAGAAGCCACGATCGTTGAATTTGATGGGACTGGAGAGAGGTTTTTTATGGCTTCCGAGGCGAAAATTGGAGTTCATTTGGCTGAAGATGCCAGGTTGTTGTTTGAGTTGGATAATGAAAAACGAGTTCTTTGTGCGGCTCCTGGAGAGGTTAGTTTTCTTTTAATTTTAATGATCAAGTTACCGTTTTTATTTTAGCTGCTACATTTGTTTTCATTGGAAATATATGAAGATAATGAACTTTCGTATAAATTCCATTGCTTTAAAACGTCTACTTTTTATAGCCACATAAGTTATGGTTGTAGGTATGTTATTGTAAATTGTGTTAGGATTACAGTTTAGTGGTATTGTGTTCTGCATGAAACGCTGATAGAAGAAGGGAGCTAAATGGTCAGAGCTGCAAGCTCAAGCATATTGTATATTAATAGGCCTGTACCTCGTGTTTGATAGCGCGTTAGAAGATCATGTAATGTGATTTTGATGGGGCATAGTTTAGCTTCAAAGATGAGATGTTGGCAATCTTCAAAAGTTCAGTGGTTTATAAAACCTGAAAAACAATGATGTAGTGGATGAAGTTATAGGATCCTTTGTTGTGGCAGATTTCTTAAAAGATTCTTATGCTACTTAT